AGGGCCATGTTGTAAGAACTAACTGTTCTTAGGTTAAGGCTATGATTCAAGGTGATACCTTATCATTTGACTTCCCTTGTGACCCATTTTAATATTTAAAACATTAATCAGCTATTAGGTTTTATTTTATGTGCCTGGAACTGAGTTGAGCATCTGCAGGAAGCATAATCTCAGACTTCTAAAAGCCAACCCTACAGATAAGAAAGAACCTACCATAAATGAGAACAAAAGTATGCCACTACAGAGTCTTCACTCACACACTCACTCACTCACTCACACACACTCACTCATACACTCACACACACACTCACTCACTCATACACTCACTCACAGTCTCACTCACTCACTCACTCACTCACTCACTCACTCACTCACTCACTCACTCACATACTTACTGTGGTGGAGTCGGTTTCCACTTATGGCGATCCTACAGGACAGGGGGGAACTGGCCCTATGGGTTTCCATGATGGAAATTCTTTATGGGAGAAGAAAGCCTCATCTTTCTCCCATGGAGTGGTGAGGGGTTTCAAACTGCTGACCTTACAGTTAGAACCCACTACACCATCAGGGTTCCTATGGATTGCATATAGCAAAATGAAAATAAAGACTGTGGATATTATAATGAATTGCTCTTAGAAGAAGCACGCCAGCCTGTGTGATCATGACGTGTTGATGGGATCAGTTATCAGGCACCAAAGAACAAAATATCATATCATTGTGAATGAGGGGGAGTGTGGAGTAGGGACCCAAAGCCCATCTGTAGGCAACTGGACACCCCCTTACAGAAGGGTCACGGGGAGGAGATGAGCCAGTCAGGGTGCAGCGTAGCAACAATGAAACAAACAACTTTCCTCTAGGTCTTTAATATATCCCACCCCCCACCACCACCCCCACTATCATGATCCCAACTCTACCTTAGAAATCTGGCTAGACCAGAGGATGTACATTGGTACAGATAGGAATTGGAAACAGGGAATCCAGGACAGATGACCCCTTCAGGACCAGTGGTGAGAGTGGCAATACCAGGAGGTTGAAGGGAAGGTAGGGTAGAAAGGGGGAACCGATTACAAGGATCTACATAGAAACCCCTCCCTGGGGGGAAGGAAGACATCGGACAGTGTAAATCACGACAAAATAATAATAATTTATAAATTATCAAGGGTTTGTGAGAGAGTGGGGGCATGGGGGAGGAGAAAAAATGAGGAGCTGATACCAAGGGCTCAAGTAGAAAGAAAATATTTTGAGAATGATGATGGCAACAAATGTACAAATGTGCTTGACACAATGGATGGATGGATGGATGGATTGTGATAAGAGTTGTACGAGCCCCCAGTAATTGATTTTAAAATAAATAAATAAATAAATTGCTCTTAATTTGGTTATTACTGTCCACTAACTAAATCACAGCACGCAAAATAAGTATTGCCTCATTTCAGGAGAAAACATGATTTCCGACTAACATCTGGACATCTGGAGAGAGAAATGTTATTTCACTGTATCTGTACTTGCCAAGCTCTTGTTGCTTCAGTACAAGATGGTCCTGCTGCGTGCAGAGGGAGAGTGCAATGGGGGGAGTCCACGTGGGGAGCCGCTGAGACAAACGGGTTGATGGGAAGCTGCTCAGACAATGGCGGCCCTGAAAGCCAGCCTGAGAAAGGAGCCCTCACCATGGAAGCAGGGAGCCTCTAACTCTTCCAGGCTCCGTGAACGACACCAAACTAACCTAGTGGTGTTTCGGGTGGTGGCCCAGTCCCATTCCAAGGGAAAGCAGAGATGCCAATAGACAATGGCTAGTCAAAAATGACTCGGAAGCGACCTTTGTCAAACAAAATATGGGAAGTTGCAGCTATCGCTCAGTCCCCCTCCTCTGAGGGAGGTGTTTCCGTCTCTCAGATCCTCCCCCAGAGAATTCTGCACTCTTCGATTTCCATCGCATTAAGATAGCCATCCACGCGCCCTTGAAGGGCCCAAATCCGACTCCTTTTAAAGTGTTTTCTAGTGTAGGGGACAAAACGCGGCCTGAAAGGGCAAGACCAGGGCTGTGGGGCAGCGGGGAAAGGTTTCCCAATGAAACTTGAAGGCCAGTCCTTGCGGTTCTCAAGGGATGAGCAGGAGCTTGATGGAAGACAGCTCTTTGGCACAACTTCCCTGATCTTTTTCTCATCGGGGCATTTCCAAAACCCTTTCTTAAAACATCTTCCTACTGAGCCTGCATGATCGTCCTGTGAGAAAACCCCTCCAAATCACCCTTGGGAATGCCAAAATCCCCACCCCCTCCTGAGCTGTTCCCTCTGCCTGCAATTTAACTGGCCCAGCTGATCCCCTGCTTCTGTGGCGAGGGTTCATGTCTCAGCCTGGATCTTTGCTTGGACTTGTTACTAAAGGCACCCCCACGAGACCAGGGCACCGAGAGAACATGTCCATCAGCGGCCATCCAAAGATCACAGAGACACGCTGAGACTCCTCGTGCTTGGAATAAGCCTGTGTGTATGAACTGAAGCCCTAGAATCAATTCTTCTTGGCTTACTCTCATAAGGATGCTATTAAGCTCACAACTGCCACAAAGTAGAAACCACCTGTCCACCAGCAAATAAAAGGATCAATAAAATGTAGTATATACGTCCATGGAATACGACTTACTAGTACAACCACAGGGGAGCTCTAGTAGGTTCCGTGTTGGGTCATTAACCAAAAAGTCAACAGTTCAAAACCACTAGCCACTCCTCAGGAGAAAAATGAAGGTTTCTACTCCTATACAGATTAACAGCCTTAGAAATTCACAGGGGCAGTTCTACTCTGACCTACAGGGTCGCTTAGAGCTAGAATCAATTAGCTGACAGTGAGTGTGCGATTTGGGGTCAGCCATAGAGAAATAAAGTCCTGAGACATAATACTACATGAATGAACCT